ATGGATTGGGGGTGGGGGGGGACTGGCTGCCGCAGGAATCCAAAACAAAACAAAACACATGGTAGTGGGACTTGGCCACCAGCATCTACACACTGAAAATTTCCACCAGAGAAACCAAAAAGAATCTCTAGAAGTGCAGAAGAGATTTCGCCACCAGCAAAAGAACTGCTCGTACCTAGTACATGCTGGGTTTTCTTTGTTACAGAGCGAGTTCACTTGTATATCTTTTTACATAGTTAAAAACCTTCTTGCTTTTCTACGTGTGTGCTGGTTTGGTTTCCCTTTCCTTGTCGTACTGGTCTGTTTGTTTTTTGTTTTGTTTTTTTCCGTCGAGTGAGTGAGAGTATGTGCTGGCTTTTTTCGTCGAGTGAGTGAGAGTATGTGCTGGCTTTTCCGTCTCTATTCTACCTGTAGGTCTCGCAGTCAGGCAGGAGCTGCGCTAAGCGCTAAGAGAATTCCCCCTAAGATAACAGATCCAGCGGTGGGTACTTGAGCTTCAGGTAACCAAATATGAACTGGTACCATAGGTACGCCCCCATTACTCTTTAGGCAATTGTGTTAGGGCCAGATCCCACTAGCCCCTACTGTTCATTTCTGATCGTTGATCTTCGGAATCGAGGGTGAAAAATGAATAATCCAGGGTAGTGGGATCTGACCCTTAAACAACAAGTACTTCGTCGAGTCGTGCCCATCAACGCGCCAACGCGCCACGATTTTAGGAAACGTACGGGCTACTACAGGAGTGCCCAAATGCATCCAACTAGAAACGTTTCTACTCTATTTTTTTTGGGCGGCCGATAGCTGGGTCAAGTACTGGTGGTTTAATCTAATCCCAGTTGGAAATAAACTTTTTTTTTTTTTTTTTTTTTGTGAAAGAAGGCTCCAATCTATTCGTGGGGAGCAGCACGTGCTGGGAACCGGGCCCAGCGTCCCATATGAAAGTTGACATAGAATTTTGAATTTTTTTTGAAAGGTTTCTACTCTATTTTTTTGGGCGGCAGATGGCTGGGCCAAGTACTGGTGGTTTAATCTAATCCCAGTTGGAAATTAAAATTGACAGGTCAAGTCCTTTTCGTCGCCTGGAGTACAGCAATCTGGGTGTCCTGTGCATAATAATTAGAACGATCGTCAAACAGGTTAGCGTTTGGTTTTCCCCCCGTTGAGTGAGTGCAGTATGTGCTGGCCGTTTCCTTTTCATGGCTGACTGGCTCACCTGGAGTACAGCGATCTGGGCGTCCTTTGCATATAATTACCAAGTAGAAAGATTGGGGGGTTGAAGAGAGTGCTGTTTTTTTCCCCTTAGATTGGGCCTCGCTACACTCCTCTCCACATGCACAAAAGACAAAAAAATATCGCGGTGCATCTTGCCATGTTCTAGCAGAAGATTCATTCTCATTTTGCACATTTCGAGAGTAGTGCAGCGAGGCCCACTGTTGAAAACGCTAGATATTGCACAAAATCTGAAAGGTCATGTTATTTCTGTGTGTATATCCATAAGGCTTGCATCGTCTACTGTTGGTTGGCTGTGGGACTCTGCGCATTGGAGTGTTAAGGTCAATTCGTCCGTTGGACGGAGTGGGACTTTTCTCCTGCCTTGGGACTGACACTGAGAATGGGACTTTTCTCCTGCCTTGGGACTGACGCTGCGACTGCGACTCGCGGTGGAGTTAAAAGGTGGCGTGCCAGTGTCCCTCTGGGGTCTCAGCAGTTTCCCAGCGGCCTTGGTTTTCAACATTTTTCTTGTGGACGTCAGTTCCCCTTCTTGCGACTGGGGTATGAACCTGGCCGCGTGCCAGGATCATACCAGAAGGTCGCCTCTTTGTAAGGGATGCCAGACCCATTTTCCGGCTGTATAATAAAGTTCTTCTCGAAAAAGAAAAAAGAAAAAAAAGGACCCACGTTCAAATCCAGAAAAGAAGAAGAAGAAGGAGAAGAAGAAGAAGAAGAAGAAATAACCACCCAAAAACCCTAAACCACAACCTTTTTTTTTAATAACTATTCACGCTTTTTTTTTTCCTTTTTTTTTGGCAAGCGACCTCCCCCGCCACCTGTACAGCAGGGGTCCTTGCTCCACTACTCCCCACTTGCACGAAAGACAAAACATAAGGCACTATTCTTTTTTTCTTTTTTCATAAAAAGCGCCGAAGATTCATTCTCATTCTGCAGATTACATTTGGTGAGTGGTGAGTGGAGCGAGGCCCCTAATCTTTTTTTTTTTTTTTTTTTTTAAATGGTCCAATGGACCACGGATCAGATATTAAGCTGATCAGAACAGATACTACACTTGATCTTAGCCAAAAGGCCGAGAAATGAGTGGTGAGTGGAGCGAGGCCCCTAATCTCGTCCGGCATCTACACAGGAACGAGATTCGAAATCGCGGCCCCTAACTCGCACGGCATCTACACAGGAACGAGATTGAAAATTCTCTGAATGATCACGGAGAGTTCTCAAAAAAGGGGCAACTTTTGCGCAGTCACGAAAAAAAAAAACAGTTTGAAAAATGCATTCCAGGCATCCCCGAATATAAAACGCCCCCACCTGACCCTGAAGCCAGCTTGTATACATTCAATATTCAGCATTTTTTTTGCCTGGAATGCATTTTGAAACTCAAACCCTGACTGCACCACCCTAATTTCCCCTCCGAACAACTATAGGGCAGCATCTCGCCCAAGTCAAGAAAACTTCTTTCTCAAAGCTCCGCAGCGCTAGAAGATAAACAGCAAACAATAACCCCAACCAACCAACTATGCTGCCCAATTTAGACAGAGCGATCAGGTCCGTACGATAGCTCCGTCCACCAGGTCCATAGCAAAGACCAGGGGAGGTGTATCACCCTGATCAGGCTCCGTATATATTGTCACATTGTGAATCAGAGCGCAAAAAAGGGAAAAGAAAAAAGGAAAAGGAAAAAAGGGGAAGGGGAAGGAGGTAATATATACTAGATGACCTGTTGCGGCTTCGCTCGCAAAAGCAAATGTGTCAGGTGATGCACGACGGGGGGAGGCAAGTGAGCGATGGAAACTCTCTCTCTCTCTCTCTCTCTCTCTCTCTCTCTCTCTCTCCTGTCTCTTATACACATCTAGATGTGTATAAGAGACAGCTTCTCACCATCATGATCACACACGGAACCTCGA